TTCTAGAATAGATACACTTCTAGGTGGTTAGTTAAGTTAAAGGTGGTCCTGAGTCAGTGACAAGGCCAAAAATAACAAGGAACCCTGTTGATATATAATTCATCCCTTAACCACTTTGTAGAGAAATTCCACCTGGGTGTTTATGTAACATTTCAGATCAACTGGAATTTGACAAAATGTTGAATTCAGTTTTAACTTTCAAGATGATTTTCTTGTAATTTTTATACTAAACTTACAGAAAACTGGCTTAAAAAATAACATTGCATTTAAGAATTTGCCAAATTATGGATGGTTGGAAATGTTAAACAAATAGAGTAAATATAGACCTGCGAAGAATTTCTCCCATTTGGTGCCTTTATATCATGTGTTTGCTTATAAATAATAGTCATTACATTTTACATTAAAATCCCTGTGAAATGCTTTGAGATATTACTGTGACAGGATAAGGCTCTAAATCAAATACAAGAATTATTTTCAGATTTAGCGCCTATAATGTTAAAGTCTCTAAATGCTTCATAGGTAATTTTTATAAAGGTGACTGCATTTGTAGGAGAATGCACAGTGTCCCACAAACAGCCATGGAGTCAGTAACCAATTTTATTTGGGGATTGTTGACCAGGACACTGGTGGAAACTCACTTCTCTTCTCAAGTAGTGCCATGGGATCTTTAATGTCCACCTCAATAGGCAGACAGGACCTTGTTGAACATCTCAGCTGAAGGACAGATCTTGGATCACTGAGAGTTAAAATTGGGTGTTTTCTCAATGACTATTACAAAATGGATTTTACTGTTCTTTTTGGTGACAATGGCCTATATGGCGATTTGCAATGAGAAGCCTATTAGTAATAAAGACCTGTAAGAGTGTGACTTCACTGAGGCAAATGTTGGAGCAGCAAAATTGTAGTCAAAACTGTACATTTTTAGTTTGGAAATTTGTGCTGCTTTTGTCATTTTGAATAAAAAAAGCTAAGGTAGGAAAGATCTCATGGCCATCTTATGTAGAACGCCAGATGGAATGTATTGCAAGGAATTTGTTCTACAATGCTTGTGCTCCCACCTCATAACTGTCTGAAATTACAGCACACAACATGAACCTAAGCACTTTGTTCTCAATGATAATAATATCCCAATATATGAATATGAATTCCTAAAACATAGAAGGAATCTTCAGTATACGGCATCTGCATTTTATTAATAATAAATAATCCTTGCATAATGACCTTTCATATCAGGAAGACGTCACAAAGTAATTCACACGATTTACTGTAAAATGTAATTTTGCTCACTGCAATGTACAACAAACAGCCATGATGTGAACGATCAAGCGACTGATTTTTACCCGGGTCAGTTTTACCCTGGACACCACTGAAAATAATCTGTGGTTTTGTATAGGGCAAATTATTTCCTTATTCCCCTTCAGGCTGCATGTTGAGATTAGGAATCGTGGTGTGTAGAGATGTGGTCATAAACCCACATCCTACTCTTGTGACACTGCACAAGTTAGAGTTCCAATACATTGCATCACAAACACCAAATACGTTTTAACACAAGGGCATTTGCCACTAAGCAGCCTGGAAAGTTCACCTGATACAGCTGTCCTGATGGCTCAGTGGGTAAATGCATACTGTGTTTTTCTATGCTGAACTATGCAGAGCTTGAAGGGTCTAGGTATGATTCCTGGTGTGCAGTGAGACTTACTGAGCTGATCTTACTGAGTCTGTACCAGGAGGCTGCAATTGGCCCAAGTGCCTTTGGGGTTAGGTGATTGGGAAAACAATCAGATTTCTTGCTTCTTATCCCTCTTCGGTGATCTCTGTTGAAAAAGTCTGAATGTTTGGATATTGGGTTTGGCTATGATGTCTGCTGCTGTTGAATAGGCCACTGCTTCTCTATTCATAGTGAAAAATGATCACTTGGTTGAGATATTAAAGAACCTACCCCAATATTATTTGCTATCTTCAGGAGCAAGAGTGTGGGATAAGGAGGGATTCGTAAGAAAAATCTGGAGTATAAAAAAGGGATGTTTCATAAAAGATTTAATGTTATAACATTGAATCAGTTATGAAATGTTGCTCTTTTCATCCCAATATGAATATTATGTATTGCATGTTCATTGTGATTTATTGCTGCCTTGGTGTATGGTTGAGTGTAACTTCAGTTTTATATGAATTTTAAAATCCTACAAAATAGCTAGTTCATTGACAGTAAATCTTGTGAAGTATTTTGAGGTGTCCTTCTGATATGAAAGGTCTATAGCAAATGTAAGCAAATGTGTGCTTGATGAATTCTGTTTTACAATGATGGGGATATAGAAGGATCAAAGCAACACTTCAATGAAATCTTGGTCAGCATCAGCTAGTGTTTCGTGTTTTGATTGATGCAGCATTGAATATGTGAACTGGGATTCTATTCCGCCAATCTTTGACGATTTGTATTCGGGGAGGGCCATCACTTTGCCTATGAAAAGCAGTTTGGTTAAAGCTGATGTATGTGCAGATTTATTCATGAAGACTTATAAATGGATTGACTGTAAACCCAGATACAACACCACATACCTTCAGTGAGAAATGGGCTGTTGCCTCATTTGAGTACCACAGGCACACTGTGGATTGCATAATGCTTCGATGCTTAAAAATAACAATCTTGGTCATTCACTTCATAGCTATTTGTGGGACATTTCTGTGCTGTGCACAGATTGGCTACCACGTTCACAGCAAGTACATAGTCACTGACTTTGCACTAAATCCTGTGAAGTTTAATGCACCAAAAAAATACCTGCTTGACATTTCAGGGTGTTCATTTCAGGAACAGTGCTATAATAAGGGTAAAGGGTAGCAGAAGCAGCAGTTGAAATGGTTTAAAACGACACCAAAATGCATTTGTATAGTGTCCTTCATGCCGGGAAGACGTCCCAAAGTGCTGGACAGTCAAGGGTTTGCACCCAAGCTGGGGGTTGGAGTCAAAAGAACCTGTTTCTAATTTATGTCATACAGTGGTATGTCATTTATATAATGAATCTGGAGATTATGAATCTGGGATCGATTCCCTGCAAGCTGAGCTCTAATGGGTAATACGGGCCGAGCTGGACAAGCACTGGGAAGCTTGCTAGATAGTGCTCTCAATGCAACCTATGTGGTTTAAGCTGGTTAAATTCCCAACATTAAATTCTGGAATCCCCAAGCCTTGGCTCTTGCCAGCCTACGCTTAATAGTCTGGATTTAGGTAAACGGGATATGTCCCTCAAGTGAGAGAGTGTGCATTCCATTCCAGATACCGGGAAATTTCTTTGTGTAGGTGGCATACATATGTGAAACTATTAGTTTGGTTTGGACACTCTTCAGCATGATGATGGGTTTCTGCATGACCATAAAAACCTCAAAAATTATTGTAACCAAGGATGAGTTGCTCTTTCCCTGGGGTTGAAAGCGACTAATAATGATTTTATTGACACAGATTTCTTCTTGGCTGTGTTTTGATGTATAAGGTACCTTCTGACAGCCCAGAGCTTGAGTAGAATCAAAGAATCGTACAACACAAAAAGAGGCCATTCGGCCCATCGAGTTTGTGCCGGCTCTTTGAAAAGAGCAATGTAATGTCAGTCCCACTCCCCAGTCCTTTCCCCATAACTCTGCAAATCCGTCCTCCTCAAATACCCGTCCACCACGTTTTTAAAAGTTGTTATTGAATCGGCCTCCACCACCCTTTCAGGCAATGCGTTCCAGATTCGAACAACTCGCTGCGTGAAAAAAATTCTTCTCACCTCCCCTCGGCTTCTTTTAGAAACTATTTTAAATCTGTGACCTCGAGTCACCGAAACACCCACCAGTGGAAACAGTTTTTCCCTTTCTAACTTATCAATTTTAACACTTCCTTACGTCCTCCTTCCCCAGCCAATCAGCTTTTTCACGGGGTAATTGAAAAAAATGGAATTGTAATGTCAAAATAGCTTTTCCTTGAAAACATTTTTTTTAATCAAAAAACACATTTTTCAGGCAGTTTAGCTGAATAAGGTTGAAAGGTGAATTGTCTAGTATGTGTGGATGTGGTTCGGAAATATAAGTAAGTTTCTTTTATCATAGAAAGTGTCATTAGGGATGTTGACTTGTAAAAAGCACATCAAGCACAGCAGGAGGATGAGGTTTTGTCGACAATATCAATTGGCTGTGTCTGGCGTTTCAATTTTTTCTCTATCTCTCAGTCTGAGAATGTCTGGTTGCTGCTTGTGCCGCAGCATTGCAGAAGCAGCATGAAAGAACTCGCCCCTCTTTTATTCCTCACACTGAACTGTGGGACACCATACTCTTGGTACCAGTGTTTCAAATAAAAGGAATGATACATTACAAAGAGGATTTTGTTGCTGATGTCGGAAAAGTGACATTATGATTCACAGAGTCAGAATGTTTACAGCATAAGTTGATGCTCTTTAGTCACCGACCAGTGGAAATAATTTCTCCCTATTGACCCTATAATAATAATAATAATAATCCTTGCATTTGATATAGCGCTTTTCACGTCAGGAGGACGTCCCAAAGCGCTTCACAGAACACACTGTAAAGTGAATTGACTGTATATTTGTGGGCGAACGCGGCAGCCAATTGCGCACAGCAATGTCCCACAAACAGTCGTAGATTGAAAATGACCAATTTAATTATTGTTTTTGGTTTTTTGGAGGGATTATTATTAGGCGTGTGGAGTAAGGAAACTTGCCTATTGACTTTTGTGCATGTCTGTGTGGTGGGGGATAAAACATTCACCTCTGGAACATGGCAGGGGACTGCAGAGATGATAAAAAGGCCACATTATCATAGTTCTCTGGCAAAAATACACAATCACTATACAACTGTCAATCATGTGAAGTACTTTGAGACGTCTTTCCAACATGAAAGGTGCAATATCTAAAGCAAGGATTATTAAATAAATGAAAATAAACTGAAAATCTGAGCAGAAGGATAGGATTCAGTAATTGCCTTCCACCTAAGCCTTGGCTTTATCTTTCCAGTTGTCTGCCACCTGCCTTGCATGAACGGAGGAGAGTGCACCTCCAGGGACAAGTGTCAATGTTCGCCTAATTTTACCGGCAAGTTTTGCCATATCCCTGTACAGTCTGCAAACAGTCAGAGGCAGCATCACCACCAGCAGCAGCAGCAGCAATCTGTCAACAGTCCAGTGGTTCATTCCACACACACGTTGCCACTGTCATTTGGAGGTAAGTCTGGAATACAAAGTAAAATTTACTTTCTCTTCAACACACTTTTTAATTTACCCTCACCGACAAGTGTAACACTCCTCTATGAATATAATTCATTGCGTTATACAGAGGAGCTCCATAATTATTCATTGTGTTCTACAGGGGTGTCACACTTCTGCATATAATATGCTGTATTTTATGAATTGAGCAACACTCCTATATTTAAATTATGCAGTGCTTTAGGGATGCAATAATTCAAGAGTGTATAACTCTTTTACAGCTGTAGACAATTCACACATCACCCTGTATCTCCTGGGAATGCAGTCCTGTGTGAATTATAACTTACAGAAGCGCAACTCTCCAGTATCAATTATATGATAATAATACACATTATTTTTCACAGAATGCATATATATATATATATTGCATTTTGACAGTTTTCTCTATTTGAAATATAAAGGCATTCTGTTTATCACAGTTACAAGCGTCTCTAGTTCATATTATAATGGATTGCTCAGTGAGGACCTGCTTGCTTCATGTTCCCCGCCCTATCTTCTCCAACATTGGCTGACGAGCTTTCAGTTATTCTGCCCCTGTTCTCTGTAATTCCACCCCAGAGTCTTTCTGACTCACTTGCTTCTTCCCCTCTTTCAAGGCATGTCTCAACATCTATCACTTTGACTGCTTTCAGTCTATCCCTTCTCCCTACCCCAAGATCCCAGCTCAGGTGTGCACCTTTCTCATCAGGAGGAAGCCTCAAATCGTTTCCCAGCAACGTGAAATGCTTTGAGACGTTTCCTGATGTGAAAAGTGCTATATAAATGGAAATTGCATTGTATTGATATGTTCAGGTTACTTTGCATGTGTTACAATATTTGTTGACGAGCCTATTTCTTTCTTTCATGACAATGCAGTGAAGTTCCCGCCTAACATTGTGAACATCCATGTTAAACACCCACCTGAGGCAACTGTCCAGATCCACCAGGTATCCAGAGTGGATAGTTCCTCGATGGGACAGAAGGTGAAGGGCGTCCACCAGTCGAACCAACAGCGTATCTCTTATCATGTTCAAAACCCTTCAATGCCTCAAGTCCCGAATTCTGTGTATACCCATCAGCAAGTCAGAACTCATCACTATCCCAGAATGCAGTCTAAATTAGGTCGCTGCTTCCAGGAGACCACAGGTTCACAGGTGAGAGCAGAACTGGCTGTGCTTTTGCTTGTAGCATTTTTCTGCTAAGGTTGTAGTCTGGAAGATTATGAGGTCTTAATTTAGGGGGCAGGATCCACTCAATCACAATCAGGTTTCACAGAAGTCAGAGCTGCTGGAGTGGAATGGGAAAGAGTCGGCTCCCGACACACCCAAGTACCTGCAGGATTCACTGGTTCCAACTCCTTTTGCACCCCTTGCAAATGAGTCCCCGATATGTGTTATGTGTAACACTTATGTCCTGCAGTCATTAGCAACAGGAACCTGCAAAATAATAATTATAATAATGATTAATCCTTACATTTGATAGATCAGCTTTCACATCACAAGGACATCTCAAAGCGTTTCACAGGAGATATAGGGTGACCAAAAAGTCATGATAATAATAATAATCCTTGTATTTGATATAGCGCTTTTCACGTCCCAGACGTCTCAAAGCACTTCACAGAATATACTGTAGAGTGAATTGACCTTATATTTGTGGGCGAAACACGGCAGCCAATTGCGCACAGCAGTGTCCCACAAACAGTTGTGGATTGAGAATGACCAATTTATTATTGTTTTGTTTTGGAGGGATTATTATTAGGCGTGTGGAGTAAGGAAACTTGCCCAAGGTTTCGCCCTGTTATGTGATATCTACCCTATTATCTAAAATACCCCCAAAATATCATAATTTCTTTAAGACTCATTAGACATTGTAATGGTATCATGACTATTTGGTCACCCTGTGCAATAAAATGTAATAATAATAATAATAATAATAATCCTTGCATTTGATATAGCGCTTTTCACGTCGGGAGGACGTCCCAAAGCGCTTCACAGAACACACTGTAAAGTGAATTGACTGTATATTTGTGGGCGAACGCGGCAGCTAATTGCGCACAGCAATGTCCCACAAACAGTCATAGATTGAAAATGACCAATTTATTATTGTTTTTGGTTTTTGGAGGGATTATTATTAGGCTCTGTGTGGAGTAAGGAAACTTGCCCAAGGTTTCGCCCTGCCTGGAATTGAACTCAGGTCTCTCCCTTGCAAAGCGAGTGCTCTAACCACTGAGCTACAGGACTGTAGTGACTATGTATTTTCTGAGCAGCAAGGATTTGGGCTTTAGAAAAGAAGCCTTAAATACTTAACCGGTATATATGTTGACATTGTCTATTATTGGAGAAGGTTGCAGGAAAACACTTGTCCTCTATGTGCTGGCCTTCCCTCCTGTTAGTGTAGATATAACAATTCTAAGTTGGTTTTGTTTAGTTATAATGTTCTGTGGTGGGGCAGAACTTCACTGGTCATAAACCACTGCTCTGAGTCAACACATGGCGCACACAGAACCCACATGTAAGGGATTCGGTGGTTTACATAAAAAATAAACCATCTTGTGGTGTTGGTCTAATGCTACTCGTGGGTACTGAGGAACATTGAATACAATTCACAAATGGATTTGATTTTTGTGGAGACTAGTAATCTTCACTAAGACTACATGTGCTGTTGCTTGTGCTATGGAGGTCCAAGAGGACAGGTAGTGGAAGGACGGGGAGGCTGTATTAAATGAAAGAGAAGTACAAGTGGAAGATTTAGCAACAAAGCCCAGATTGCCTATTGAATCTCATTAGTCCGAGCAGAAAACAGCATGCATTCGACCAGTTTACAGGTACATGCAGTTCATTAACATCTTGTACTTCAAATTAGGATTACAGCAGTGCTAACATTTTGGCACCAAAAATAAAATGACATGCAGACACCTTCCAGACACCTTTACTCTAGTCACATTCACCTATCCCTGTGTTCAATTTGTACTGTGCTGGAGGTAAATTATTTCTGTACTACTGTTCAGCGTTGGGCTCTTGTCAGAGATGGAATGGTATGAATAATATTTCTGATTTATTTGGTGTAACAGGATCCTTCTGTACCTCAGCCACTCCGCTCACAACTCCAATCTCAGTTTTTATTGTTCTTATTTTCTTTTCTATTCCAGTGCCAATTTTGTCTGAAGCTAGTGGACTGTATTTGTTTAATACTTTTGCCTACTTTTGATTCCCGTGCAATACATAAGCAACTTGCCTTAGCAAAACAAACAACATAGAAGGTAAATTCCATGGCACTTTTTGGGTAAATTGTGTTGTCCTTGTGAGGTTCTTCCATGATTACTAATCTGTTATAAGTATTTCCAGCCAGGAGGAAGGTCTGCTGCCCGTTGCTGACTTCTCCCATGATCTCTGCCAATGCTTTCCCACAAGCAACGGAAGAGATACTTGGAGTTAGTGGAGCCTGGCAATGTTGTAGAGTATTTGGGTGTGTGGTGCAGGAGAGAATATAGGCTGAAGCTCATGGAGAAAGGAGGTCAGAGGCAAGCGAAGGAATCGTTGGATAAATCTGGACATTATTCCTCTTCCTGTGCTACTTTAGTCAAAGCTTCCTCCCATATTATAGTCTTAATGAACTCCCCACACCCTTCCGTGCATTCTAACTCTAACCATTAAGCCTCAGAAGGTATAATTTCAATCGTTGATACACATAATTTTCTTTGTCTTTTTTGGAATCCGTGTTCACACTTGCTAGCGAACGAGCACTAACTGAAGTATTCATGTTAATTGCAGTGTGGTAAGGCTCTTCCTGGACTATTGAAGCAAGAAGATTGCTGTGGAACCGTGGGCACCTCGTGGGGGTTCCACAAATGCCAGAAGTGTCCAAAAATGCCATGTAAGTTTATCTCTTCATCTCGCCCCCACCGCCCCCCCATCCCCCCCCCCCACCACCTGGAAGGTGGGGAAATCTTTTTACAAGTAATGTTTTGCTTCAACTGTACAAAGCCTTGGTCAGACCCCATCTGGAGTACTGCATTCAGTTTTCGGTACCTCACCTCAGGAAGGATATATTGGCTTTGGATGGGGTGAAGAGCAGATTCACCAGAATGAGACAGGGGCTTAAAGGGTTAAATTATGAGGACAGGTTGCAGCAACTTGGTCTCTATTCCCTTGAGTTTAGAAGGCTGAGGGGTGATTTGATTGAGGTTTTTAAAATAATAAAGGTATTTGATAGAGTAGATACAGATAAATGATTTCCTCTGAAGGGGGAATCCAGAACAAGGGGAGCATAATCTTAAAATTAGTGCTAGGCCATTTAGCAGTGAAATCAGGAGGCAGTTTTTCACTCAAAGGGTAGTGGGAATCTGGAACTCTCTCCCCCAAAAGGCTGTGGATGCTGTATCTATTCAAATTTTCAAGACCTAGGTGGCCAGATATTTGTTAGGTCAGGGTATTAAGGGATTTGGGGCAAGGTGGGTAATTGGAGTTGAGGTAAAGATCAGCATGATCTAATGCAATGGTGGAACAGGCTTGAGGGACTGAATGGCCAACTCCTGTTTCTATATTCTATGTTTGTCAGTTTCTAAATGCAACCTGGTTAGTTACATAGATACATAAATAGTAGGCAGAAAAGACAAAAATTCATTCCTGGGAGAAGCTCTCCCTTTTTCTACCAATCTAATCTACTTCCCTCACTTTAAGCACCTACACTGCTGTTGGCCAATGGTTGAACGGAATTGCGAATTGTTGAGTTCAGTACTGATATGCTGGCCAGTGTACAAGTATATGTAATTTATTCCCCTCTTTTGTTTGAATAGTGTTTGTTTATAGACTGGTATTAAAACAGTACAGAGGCCCATTGAAATTGCAGGGGTGGTAAAAACGTTTTACTGCTGCAACTCAACTTATTTCAATAACATGCATGAACTCGCTTTTGTATGATATAATAATTGGCATATACTTGAAGTTCATTTTAAAGGTAATTAATAGGTGAAGAGAAGGCATTGTCTGCGTGCTAAACCCAACGTTTAGGAGTGGAATATTTGAATTAGTAGGTGATGAAATTAACTGTTATGACAGAGCTCTGCTTTCTTTTCCACTAACCTAAGCAGTGCTAGATTAACAACAACAACTTGCGCCCTTCATATAGTGTAGCATCACAGAGCTCTTCACAGTGGAGGAGATTGATGCCGAGATGGGGAAAGGGGAGAGGTGACCATAAGCATGGTTGAATAAGAAGGTCTTCAGGTGTGATCTGAATACGAGTAAGGAGGGAACAAGGTGGAGGGATTCAGGCAGAGTTCCAGAGAGTTGGGACATAGTGGCTGAAAGAACAGCTGCCAACGGTGGAGCAGAGAGGACACGGGATGTGCAGGAGGCTAGAGCAAAGTGGGTGGTTAGAGGAGTGAGATGTAAACAGATCGGAGAGATAGGGAGGTGCCAGGACATGAAGTGATTTGTAGGATATTGAAATCAATCCGTTCTGCAATAGGGAGCCAGTGAAGCCTGGCAAGGACTGCGTGATGGGGGTGTGAAGGTTAGTATAGTGAGGATAAGGGTGCTGGAGTTTTGAATTAATTGGTGTTAATGAATGATTGAACTGAGGAAATAAACCCCATTTATAGGTAATAGCTAGAAATAAAATTAATGCAGAAATCTGAAGTAGTCTTAAGTATCTCAGCCAACATTAGGAAATATTCTAAATATTTTCTTAGTAAATAGAATTATTTCTGTATTCACCGGGTTCCATTTTATTCACCAAAATGTTACTTTAACTGTGTGTGTGTGTGTGAGGGTGGGATTCAATAACAATAATAACAACTTGCATTTATATAGCACCCGTCATGCAGAGTAGAATCTCTGAATGTTTAATTCACAAAATATATCTATCATGCAGATGAGATGTAAGATTGCATAGAGAATGTGGTACAAAACCCTCATGGCATTGTCTTTAGACCATTGCTTTATCTTTTAACATTGTGCAGAAGTTCAGAAAATTCTTCAAAGATTTTTAAAGTTTTTTAAAAATGTTAGGTACATTGACATATTGTGTGGGGAGGGTGGGGGGCACAGCTGCAATATTCATTGTAGGGGTGAACTGCAATTTCCGAAAGCCACCAAAAGAGTAATAATTGGAATTTTCTCACCATTTTCCACAATTAGCTGGTTGCTCTTCTCTGGCTAATTTTTCACACTTCGGCGGCTTTTAGAAATGATTAACCCTAATCTGACCACTCGTGTCGACCAAATTAGTACCATAGAACTATAGAAATATTCAGCGCAGAAGAAGGCCATAAGGTCCATTATATTTGTGCTGATTCTTTGAAAGAGCAATCCATTTAATCCCATTTACCTGTCTTTTTCCCATACGGCTGCAAATTACACTTCTCAAGTCCCTTTCAAAAGCTAAAATGGATCCTACCTTGACCACCACATCACACAGGTCAATATCAAATTAGAACTTCCCACCACTTTTCTAAATAGAAAACAGTGAGAACATATGAGAAAAAATAGTCTATAGCACTTTCAGTCATTTCAACATGATACGATTCTAAACCAAAAGTTCTGTCTTCTAAATATCACAAATTAGACCCCCGTGTCTTGTGGAGGAGGGAGTGGGTTTTGACTGACAGCTTGAAGATAATCCTAGCTCCTGTTCTCCATTCTTCTGACATATTAATTTAAAGCGGAGTGTTTCAAATTGACAAATTTGGGTTTGGAGAGATTTAGGAAGACATGTCCATCACACGTCTGCCTTAAATGTGGTTCCGTACTTGCCTGTACAGGAAAATGGTAAGAGAATACTAGGTTTAATTTATGCACTTTGTTGCTCTGAAGTGTTTCTGTTCTGAGAAAATCAGCCATGCTATTTTGTTCCAGATTTGGTCATTCTTTACAATTTTGGTTGTATAATAACTTTCTAACAGGTTTAGCTATTTTTAGAAGGGAAAAAGCAACCCAAACTCAGCTGCTGATTCCCCCTCGCCCCTGAAATGCAAGCACTGTACATTTTGATGCAATTACCATCTCTTCCAGAGATGAAGACTTGAAACCTAGTCATTCCTGGTTCTAGTTTATTCAATTAAAAACAGATGTACTACTATATGCTGTATTATCCCATCACATTTATTGCAGCAACTTGCATTTATATAGCGCCCTTCAAGTAGAGTAGCTTAAGGAGGGAGTCATTATAGCTTAGTTGGTACTGTTCTCGCCTCTGGGAAATGAAGGTTGTGAGTTCAAGTCCCAATTTGGGGACTTTGAGCTTATTGTGCAGGCTGATGCTTCAGTGCAGTACTAGCGAGTGCTGTGTTGACAAATGAGATGTTAAACCAAGGTCCTGTCTGCCTGTTCAGATGGACGTTAAAAGATCCCATGACAATATCAGAGAAGGGAGTTTCCCCCAGTGTCTTGCCCAATAACCCTGCAGTTAAATTCATTCCTGACTGTTTGAAGGAGAATGTGGTGCCCAAGCTGGGTGCTGCATTTGCCTAGAAACACATGGTTCTTTACAGAAAACTCTGTGAAGTGCTTTGAGATTATTCAACATGATGAGACACTACATCAAATGTAAGGATCATTATGAAGGAGTTCCGATTTTTCATCAGTAAAAATTGCGAACAGCCCTGTCTGACAGCACAGAATATCTGAGATAATATTTTTCCATATTTTATCTAATACAACAACAACAAGAAGAAGATTCCATTTATAGAGCGCCTTTCACGTCGGGATGACGTCCCAAAGCGCTAATAATTGATTCAATCACTCCAATACAGAAAGAGCTCCCTTATGTTGTTCTCACATTTGTGTTAGGTACACAATCATGGAATTTTACAGCATAACATTTTGTAATATTCCATACAGTCGCTTCTGAGACTGCTCCGTTCAGGAATGAAGAGCCCTAGCTTGTCTAATCGTTGTCATCGCTCATTCGTCTAACACTGGGAATCATCCTTGTTGCTCTCCTCTGCACTGCTTCTTGGCCTGGGTAGTGCCTCTATGTCACATTGACCAGAGCTGCATGCAATACTCTCAGTGCAATCTGACAAGAGCGCTGTAAAGCCTGATTATTACCTCTTGGGATCGGAACTGAATCGATTTGATAATATAGCCGTGTTTATTGCTGTCTCACACTGTTTTAATGTAGTGAGTAACAAGTCAGCTAACCCTCCTAGATCTCTTTCAACTTCCCTCTTAGCAAGTTCAATCCCAATCCACGGAGTACTAGTGTTTCAATTTTTGCTTCCTGCGTCTTTCTAAGAACTTTGCTGCCCTTCCCTGATTCCACTGTTGATCCTCAACTTGTTATCTGCAAATTGAACAACCTTACACTGTGTCTACGTATCTGGGTCATTAATATCAATAAGGAACAGGAGTGATGTCAGTACGGACACCTGATACCTCCCCTCCATTTTCACTTATAGACCCCTAACAACTACTTCCCCTTCAGTCAATCCATGTCCATGTCTTGCCTTTGAAATACAGTGACATCAGTTTGTGAAGGAGTCTTTCATGTGGTACTTTGTCAAACACTTTTTGGAAGTCGAGGTACTTTGCGTCATATAGTTTCCCACAGTCAATTTGGGATATCACCTCCTAAAAATGTCTATGAAGTTGGTTAGATGATGTCTGGCCCTTCTGAACCTGCATTGGCTGCCATTCATAGTCCTTTTGCACTTCCAACTGCCAATGTTTTCGCTATGTTTGGAACTGAGTAATAGACTGAATCCAATGCTGTTAACCATAGTCTTGTACGAATGTGTAACAATCGGGCAACACTGGCTGCCTTTTTATGTTGCTGTTTACATACAGTGTATTATCTTTCCATGTGATGTGTTGAGGGATACAACTGCTGGTGGATTTTCTGTTTGATAAATGCTCAACTTGAAATGTAGA